GATGAACATTGGAAGAAGGAAAGAACAGGGAATAGGACAGGAGCCTACCACAGAGGGCCTCTGAAAAATTCTACCCAGCAGGGTATCAAAGCAGATGCTGAGACTCATAGCCAAACTTTGGGCAGAATTCAGGAAATCTTATGAAGGAAGGCGGCCATAGAAAGACCTGGAGGGGACAGATGCTCCACAAAGAGAGCAACAGAACCAAAAAATCTGGGCCCAGGGTATTTTCTAAGACTCATACTCCAACCAAGGACCATTCATGAAGATAATGTAGGACTCCTGCACAGATTTAAAAAAAATTAAAATTAAAAATGTGAAAAAAAATCATTAAAATTGTGAAAGTTTAAGACCCTAAAACCCCAAATCTGTTCAGATTGCTCTCATATTTCACAGAAGGAAATGAATGCTTAGAGAGAAGGAATTTGCTTCTGGCAACACTACCAGTCAGTACAAGATCAATCCAGAAGCTACTGTGTGGGACCTTCAAATCCCAGGCCAGCAAACTTTGCATCCCTGAGGGGCCATTAGGAACAACAACTCTCAGGTGCACCACAGACTGGATCAGAATCTGCATTCTTTCAACATTCAAGTTCAGAAAGCACTGACATCGCCAGACCACCTCTACCCATCCTCATGTACCCTTGATACAACCCCGGGCTTTCCTGTATCTAGTCTGGATATATACTAGTAGGGTCCTGAGGTCCCAGGTTCTCTGCCAGAGGAAAGGTAAAGCTTGAGATGGAAAGGTAGAAGGGAATAAGAGGGCTGGGACAGAATAAGACAAGAAAGTCTTCCAAGTGACCTATACTCTGGTGCTAGCTCTTTCCCCTGGGTCAAGAGCTTAGTCATGTAGCCAAGGTTGCCAGTTATAGCCCTGGGAAGCACAGCAGGTGCTTAGCTGAGATTTTTAATGAGGGGGATAGAAGTACAGCCTTCATGTAGCATGCAGGAAGTTGAGGCCTGGAGCAGTGCCAATGAGATTGCTTCCCTCTTCATTAAGTGACAACTTGATGGGATCCTGATGTCATCAGTCTTTGTGGACAAGTCACATCATGCAAAATGATAAATACTGCATTATCACTCACATTTAACAATATTTATCAGAAGATCTTGGATGTTTGCATTTCTATAAATATTGTGTGATGGTCAATATCTGAAAAAGTGCTGGTTTGTTGAAAAACATTTTAAAGTGCATGCAGTGAGGAGTCACCCTCTTCCTGGAATCAGTGTCCTAACATGTCAGTATGCTATTTGTTCTACTAAAATCAAAGAGTACATGAAAGTGTCCAGTGACCACAGTGGTTGGGTCATCTTGGCAACTGACACTGAACACAATCCCCCCTCAGGCCCTTATTTTATAACCTCTGTCTGAGAGACCTATGCTTTCTGTCTGCTATTTCTGCTTTCTCTGTCTAGTTTTACATATTACTGACCTCCATGTGTATCTGTAGAATACATTATTTTGGAAAGAACTGTACATAGATGGATCTGTCGGGACCCTTTCCATGAAGGAATCTGGGTTGGGATTGCCAGGGCTGGTCCATTTACACTCTAAGCAGAGGTTTTGGGGGCTTAGCCCCTCCTGCTGGTTTCAAGCCTGATCTTGCCTTTTACTTCACTGTGATAACTCTTTCCAGTTCATACCACCCACTCCATTTCCCTTTTGGGTTTCTCAGACTGTGGTGTTTAGTGGCTTCCTTAGACTTGGAGGTTGTCCAGGCCCAATGCTGCCAGGGCCTTCTTCCTAAAACAGAAATCAGAAGCTCGGCGTGGAGGTGGACAGTGCCTTCCTCTAATGACTTTTTCGTGGTGTTCTGTCTATGAGAACCGACTGCCTACCATGCTCATGACTTCCAGCTGCTATCTTTGCCCACTATCTTTGCCACTGATACTTCTTGGGATGGTCACTCAGGTCTAGGTCCCTAGTTTCTGGCCTACTGGCCTCTCCCAGGCTACCCTTTCCCACATTGGTGTCCAGAGCATAGACTGAGCTTAGAGATTCCAGGAAAGATCTTCTGATACCCACACCCAGAGCTGGAAAGAGGCCTGGAAACTCATCCATTCAACATTCTCTTTATGTAGTAAGCCCTAATCCACCCTCATTCTGTCCTAGGTATTGAGAGTAATGAAAAATGCCAGACAAGTCCCACTCTTCACTGAGTCACATTCTCAGGATGAGACCCATGGCAAACACATAAACATATTCAATATGATATGTATGTATGTATATTTATATACCATGTATATGTAATTTACACACCCAAATTTATATAAATATAAAAGGCATTACATATAAGCACCTTGTTTATAAACAGACATATAAAGCACGAGCACGCACACACACACACACAAATGAAGTGATAAGCATCCGAAAGAAAACATCAAGACAACTGGCAAGAGTGTCAAACAAAATTCAAGATACTGGACAAGAAGCAGATGGAAACTGAAGGTGGGGGTGTGCTTTGGTACAAAGGGGTCTGAAAAGGGCTCCATGAGAATCAGGTGTCTGAGCAGAGCCTGCAGGATATATTTAGATCCTAAAGGCCCTTGGATGGGAACGTGCTGTGTTTGTGTTCAAAAGAAGGCCAGCCTGTGCTGCAGGTGTGAAATGTTCACCTGTTCTGTTCGCTGGCCCAAGCAACGAAGGCCTTGTAGCCACTACGGGACTTATATCTTGTACAGTCTGGTCTTCCCTCTTTCCTTAAACAGAAGGTTGGGGCTCAGAAGAAGAAAGGCTTAGTCAGGCCTCTGGATACCAAGTTCAACCACAGAATCTTGCATCTTACCAGTCTTTTATTCCAATCCTAAGAACCTAGCACAAAGAGATGGCCTTCCTGGTTTCCTGTCTTGTTCCTAGACTACTCAACTCCCACCCCTATTCTCCCTACATCTGATCACCACCCTTGTATTTTCTCCCCGTTCTATTTCAGGCCTAGTTCCCTCTCTTCATCCACTTCTGCATCTAATCTATTTTCCCTTCTGAGTGACATTCAGGCATCCTCCCTTGGGCCCTCCTTGTTACTTAGCTTCTTTGGGTCTGTGGACTGTGGTGTGTTTATCCTGTACTACAGGTCTAATATCTGCTTATAACCGAGTGTATACCATGTGCATGTTCCTGGGTCTGGGTTACCACTCTCAGGATGACATTTTCTAGTTCCACCCATTTGTGTATGCTTTTCATGATTTCCATATTTTTAATAGCTGAGTAGTAAGTATCCCATTGTGTAAATGTACCACAATGTACATTTATCCATTCTTTGGTTGAGGGATAACTAGGTTGTTTACAATTTCTAGCTATTATGAATAAAGCTGCTATGAGCAAAACTGAGCAAATGTCCTTGTATGGTGGAGCATCTTTTGGGTACATGCCCAGGAGTGGAGGCCTACAACAGGCTCCTGGGAGGACATGGGTGGAATTCTAGCTGAAACCCCTAACAGAGGGGCACATGGAGACTGAAATGACCACCACCTAGCCAGGCAGGACGAGTGGAAGGAGGAAAACAACCCACCAACAAAACCTGTGATCCAAAAATTACCCTGCTTACAAGAACTGCAGGTATAAAGAGGAAACATAAATTGAGGAAATGTCTAAGCAATGATTGGCCCAACCCGGGACCTACCCCACAGTAGAGAGCTGGGCCCCTGACACTATTAGTGATGCTCTGCTATGCTTGCAGACAGGAAAGGGCCTAACATGACTGTCCTCAGGGAGGCTCCACCCTGTAGCAGATCCAGACAGATGCTGGAACTTGTAAACAAACATGGGGCAGAGCTTCGGGGATCCCATGAAAGTGTTGGGGGAAAGACGGGAGGACCTGAAGGGCACAGGAACCCCACAAGAAGACCAACAGAGACAACTAATCCAGACCCACGGGGGCTTACAAAGACTGAGACATCAACTAAGGAGCACACATGGTCTGGACCTAGGCCCCCTGTACATATATGATGTGGGTTGCCTGGTGATGGGGGGGGGGGGCGGGGAGCGATAGGGGCTGTTTCTAACATGGACTCTATTGCCTGCTTTTGGATCACTTCCTCCAGGCAGGGCTGTCTTGCCTGGCCTCAGGAGATGAGGATATGCTCAGTCTTGATGTGACTTGATGTGCTGGGGAGGGCTGATATGGGGAGAAGGGGATCCCCTGTTCTGGGGGGGAGGTGGAAGAAGAAAAAGGGAGAGGAGGGGCATGCCAGACCGAAAGGAGAGGAGGGAGGGGCACCCTTGGGATGTAAAGTGAATAAACTTAAAATAAAACAACAAAAAACCCAGCACGACTGTTGTATTTGTTAGGGCAGAACTTCAGAGCGACCAGGTTCTTTTCCTGTTCCTCTGAGGTCAGTTAGCAGAATGGAGAGGTGAGGCATAGTGGACGGGGCCTGGCAGGTTGGCTTGCTCTGAGACCATAGCACCTGCTTTCCTCTGCTGGTATTTTGCCCACCAGTCAGCACAGGAATCTCAGGACCGGTACCACAGTCATGTCTACTACTGTCCAGCTAACCAGGAGGCATGCATCCAACCCAGTGCAGTTCCTGTTGGCACAGCAGACCGCACTCCAGCTTCACTGCTTTCTAATTTCTCAAGAAGGTGTGACCGACCGTACCCCAGGTTGCATCCCTTCTCATTTCCCGTTGCTGCACACAAGAACCTCATTTGGACCACTCTCTCCGGCCCTTACATTAGACCTGTGGCATTGACAAAAAGTTCTTTTAGGTTTGGGGCAGAAGTTGAGGCCCGGGACTGTCTGCCCTCCTCTCTTCCTTCACCTGGGTTCCCGCGAGCTAGTCCGCCCACTTGGCCCCGCACAGCTACAGGTGGCCAGGTGTCTAGTCCCTCCAGCCAGCTCCGCGGGTGCCCACCGCGGGGTGCGCGCCCCGCCCAGGTGCGCTCCGGCGTCGGGGGCGCGCGGGGAGGCGGGCGCTGGGGAGCGGCGCGCGGGCGCGGGGCGGTGCCGAGGTGGGCGCGGCTGAGGCAGCTCGGCGGGGGCGCGGCGCACCTTGCTCGGGCGCCCCGGCCAGCCGCGTCGGTTCCTCCCCGCGCCCCCGCCCGCCCGGACGCCTCCAGTCGCTTCCGTCCTCTCGGCACCGCTGCTGTCCTCGCTAGCCCCGCGTGGGAGGACGATGGGTCAGCGCGGAAAAAGTGAATGAGGACGGCGGCGCCGCAGCCAGCGCCTCACTCCGCCGGCAGAGCCCCGCGCGCAGCCCGCCGGCTCCATGGACGCGCCGCGCGCACTGGCGGCCAAGCCCCCCACCGGGTAAGCGGGCACGGGAGGGCGGACAGCGTTCTCCGCAAGGTGCCCGGTGCATGGGACAACCGGGTCGTTGCTCCGGCAACGGTGGCAGGCCTGACCCGGGAGCACTTTCCGCGAGCGGCGCCGGTGTGAACGCCCTTGTGTGTGCATTTGTGTATATGCGTGTGTGTGTTTGTGTGTGTGTGTTGGGGTGTTGTCCCTCCAGGCGGAGCCCCAGCTCGGAGCTGCCTCCTGCCCCTTGCAATGGTGGCCACTATGGGCCGAGGCCACAGCGAAACTTCGGGCCTCAGACTCCAGCGGATCCCATTTGGTCTTATGCATGGGTCCCTCCAGCCACCCTCGCAGGCCCTGTGGCCCGCTTGCTTGGTTCCTGCCTCATGACAGGAGGGTATTTGTTCTGTTGAGACTCATGTAGCCAGCGATCTTGGGAGGTGTATGTTCACTTCGTGAATACTGCTCTGCCCAGCCTTCCTGCTAGGGCCTCCCTTGTTCCGGAAAAGGTGAGGACCCCCTCATCGGACCTGAAAAGCAGAGCTGTCATCCCGGTCTTCCAATATCCTCTAATGCCTCAATGACTTTTTAGTTTCTTTTTGCTGTTTCCACACCTTGCAAACAGAGATTCCGTGTCACATTGAGGATTTTACTTGCCGAAAGAGAAACTTCCTGACACCGGTCAAACAATCTTGTCCTTTAACACTCTCTTCTCTTTGAATCGTGCCCATCCGTGCCCATCCCAGTCAGGACAGTTTTCAACCCATGTGAACGAGGTAGATTTCAGAAAGTGCCACAGGGCCGGCCTTTGACCTCTGCTCTCTGGAGCAAATGTGTCATGAGTGTTGCGAATGGAATGAGTTGGGGTGGGCCCGCACCTGCTCTTGAAATGGCCCACTTTCACTCGAGCAACTGGGTTTTCTAAGGCAGCTTTGGGGACAACAAATCTCTTTTCTTTAGCAGTTATGTCCCACTGACTAACCCTGTCCTTTGCCCATTGGCGTTGTTGCCTGAGTGTTTATAAAAGTCTTCCAAACCAGCTCTTTTTTATTTCTTAAAATCTCTGGAAGCTTTAAAAAGTAAGATACATTACTAACTCATAACCTTGAAGCCAAGGAATGTTAAAAAAAAAAAAAAGACTTTTCTCCAGTAAGGTGTGGTTATATCATTCCTTTGAACAAACAAATTCCCCTTAAAGAAAATAAATACGGGAATACTTTTTCTTGGTAACTGGGACTCCCAAAACGACCTGGGGAGATTTAAATAGAATTGCCTTTTAAATTTGTGGCTTTTCGAGATTGTTACGTAAGTCCCTCTAAGGGAACTGAATTATTTTATCACTACTTTCTTATAAATAAATATGAAGGGAATATTTAGGAGGCCTGCAAATTTTCTTAGAGGATCTGCAGAAACCCAGGAAGGAGTCTGGGAATAGTGAAACCACCCTCTCCACCAGTTTGCTCCCTAAGCAGTCAAGAGGGCAACCCGAGTCTGCCTTCCTCACTTGGAGTCACATAGGAAAACCGAGGCCGTATGCTGTGAGGGTGGCAGCAGAGCTCACATGGCTTGATGCCCCTGCACCCGCAGCATATTATTTCCTTGCTTCCACCTTTGTCCAAGAAATGTAGATCTATTTCTGGTAACTTCTGTTATTGCCAATTCTCATATGTTTATACTTTGCATAAAGGAACGCCCCCCCAAATGTAAATATGTATATATATATATATATTTTTTTTTTAAACAAAGACCACAAGTTCAGTATAGAGCATTTTGTGTTAGAATTCAAAGAAGGACATGCACTAGGACTTTGTGTGTATTTTATATTGTTTAGTTATATTGCTTGCCTATCATAAAGGATGGTGACATTTTGGGCTTCAGCATGTTATCAAATGCAATTAGAATTTGTGGACTTGTATCTGAAATTACTGTTTTCTTTATCTCTTGAGAATAAGCAGTGTTTGCAGTGTGCTTGAGAGAAGTTTGTTTTCTATCTGATACTACAGAGGCTGGTTATACAATTACTTTGTGTAAACTATCATTTTCCCATGTGACAGCAGACAACTGGTGTGATGAATTTGTTGTTATCGACAAGAACTCCTCAGTCATCCTTGTGCTGTGTAGACTGGTTGGAATGGGCAACAGATCGAATATTATCAAGCATGAATTAGTGAAGGAACAGCTGGGCTGGTGAATGTAAAATCATCTCCTTAGAGGGTTACCACACATGCAAATTTTGCTTGGATTGAAATCATATCTTTCTTAGTAATTGCATTAAAGCAGCAACTGTGATGAGCGTCTGTCTAGGAAAGGCATTCTTTTTGGGAGGAGATTGTGTGAAGACTTGATGTGTTGCTTAGGGAATTTTAGAGCTCATTTTTAAAGGGTGTGTGTGTGTGTGTGTGTGTGCTTGCATGTGTGTGTGTGCAGGCGAATTCGGCTGCATACCTGCTGTGGGGCATAAGTTGACCTTAGAGGACAGCCTGGGAGTCAGTTCTCTCCTCCAACTGGGACTGAACTCAGGTTGGCAAGCTAGAGTGGGAAGTGATTTTACCTGCTGATCAGTCTCACCAGTCACTGGTTAGTTTCAACTAGTCAGAAGTGACTAGTGAGAAGTGATAACCGGTGGAATATTTTAGAAAACGGACTTAGGCAAATTGCCTTCTGGTGAAGTTTTAAAATATAGTTAAGCCCGTACTTACTGTATTGCAGTGTATGCGGGGCCCATCTTAGGAGTTGGTTGTTACTGTACCAGAGAGTTCTGTACCTGACACCATATGAATACAGGAGACAGTATCAGCATCTAGCTGGATGGTGGATACAGATTTTTTTTTTTCCAAAGAGGAAGTGCATAGTTGTGTAGGACTGGAAAGTATCGATTGACATGAAATCTCAAAGCTGGGTACATCTGAGCAAAGGCTGAGTCACTCACACAAAGGCAGTGAACTTCACACCACTGATGCAGCTTTACATATTTGCATATATTTATTTTACTACATTTATTAGAACAAGAAATAATTTGAAAAAAAAATAAGTGGGTTTGTTGCTGCCGTTGTTGTTGTTTTGGGATGTCGAGTCTCTCTATGTCACCCAGATTTGCTTTGAACTTGTAATCTTCTTGCCTCAAACCTCTGGGATGATGGGATGACAGACATTTGTTATTGTGTCCAGCTGTAAGCGGACACCCTTACCTGTCAGTAGCCAACACAGTATCAAGATAGAGGGCCTGTCTCTTTTGATGGTAATATGTTCCTGTTTTGTACCAAACCATAAGTGTTTTGATATTAAAGACATAGTAACTACATAAGTCATTTAGATTTGCTTTGGGCTACTGTATTTCAGAGTGTCTCCATCCTTAAGAATGAGAAAATAAGGATTATCTGTCACAAAACATTAATACCAAATTTGAGCTATATTTTTAAAGATGTTACTTCTGAGCTGTTTTTTATCCCATCAACCCAATTAAGTAATGTTAAATCTCTGGGTGTGGAGAAGACTTCTGTGAATATTACTTTTTGTAGTTATAATCTTTATCCCTGAGAAATTAGACATTTATAGTGTCAAATAACCATAGATGATTTTTATTATATCTCAGGAGCCCTGTTCAGATGGTGGACCTGAAGGGCCACAAAAGTTGCTTCAAATATATCTGCAAACTGTTGAGTCACTCTTGGGATGCTAGGATTTGGGACATCTTTAGTTTTTCTCTCTCATTATCTCCCATGCATGAGCATATCAGACTGTTAGTGGGTGGCACTGTGACCTGGAAAGGTAACAATTCTGACATTTATGAAGGCTTGGATTCTGTGGCCTCTTTAATTTGGGACTTGCAAAGTGAGGTTGTAACGTGTGTGCACCCAAGTATATGTCTATAATTATTAAGAAAACAGTGATTAAAGGATGTGTCTCTATCCCATAATAACCAGCTTAAGATACTAGGCCTTTGAACTTTGTGATTGAATTTTCAAGTCTATTTGCTTTTGCAACTGATCGAAAGTTTTAAAAAAACGATCAGAAATATTTCATATCAAATCAGATTTTAAATACATGAACATGGTTTTATTTATACTTGAACTAAGTAAACACATTCAGCTGACAGTGTATTCATTGTATGGCCTTTTGGTACCATCCATATTTAACGATGGTGTCTGGCAATTATATACCATAGAAACTTAGTGGTGTATTTCAGTCTGTGCTGCAACAGAGCACAATTCTCATATCACATGGCCCAATTAAAACTTATATATTTTTTCCTATTTATACTTTTCTTTACTTAAACTATTTAATACTGATTCATACTGTTGATGTAGATAATGTATCTTTTAAAATTAATTTCATTTACTTAAGTGATTTGTAAATTTTAGTTTTTGCCCCTCCAGCAATCTGTGTCTCTACTGTCTTCCTTCTGTCTTGCCACTGGCAGGTTTCTATATTGTTAAAGGGCCGCCTGCAGGTTTCTATTAGCCTTCTGTGCTTTCACCATTTTATATTTTCAACTTTTCTCTTGCTAGGGGGATATTATCTATGCTTGATGAGGTTTCTTACAAAGCCAAGAATGGTGTGGTGGTTGCTTTAAAGACTTCTACTCATCACTCTAGACCCATGTTGCTGTATGCACTTACACTGACTAATGGCAGTCTTTCTCTAACAGTCTGCTTTTCCCAAAGTCCATCCCCAGGAGATTGTTTCTGAGCAAGTCCCTTAATAAGACATCTTTTTCCCCCTAGCCAGCAGCAGCCTCTGGTAATTTAGGATTTTACTATCATCTGTCTAGTCTTCCTCATCAGGAGGTAAACTGCTGGCTAGGACCACATCTTCCACAGGCCAAGTCCAATTAAAATAAGTTCCCTAGCCAAGCATATTTCTATTAAAAACAAACAAACAAAAAGCTTTAAAATCAACTGTCAAAATATATTTTACTTGGGCTCATTTGATTAGACACATTCTTAGATCACAGCTGCTTTCACCCGAAAGCTCTTGTAGATCCAGCTCCCGCCTACACCAGACCATGACAC